CCTCTCTCTCTCTCTCTCTCCCTCGACCTCTCTGCTCTGCCTCGGTCTTGTCACAGTATCCACCAACAACTTATTCACRCGCACACACTCCTAGATCACCCTGGATGTCCCGCACACTCACAGACACTACACACAAACTAACTCCCTACCACTAACCTACGAGCAGCTATGGCTCCCGTCTTCTTCCTCCTACTATGGCCGCATATCCTCCTCTTAGCCCACTTCTTCYTCGGGCACTTGCAGACCTTCGTACACAAGACGCCCCGTCAGCGCTTCGGCATGGCTCACAAGCAGAATGAATGAATGACTCGATGCTGCCTCTATATTTATACTTYGGATTGTCGCTGGTCTGCCTGTGGACCTGGGCCCTGGGCATACACAGTCCTACATGGTACTTGCTGACTTGACGAAGTGCAACCTAGGACTGGGTACCGCTGACTAGGATAGGTAGGAYTGGGACTGCCCTTTGCTGACTGTGCTAGGACTGCCCTCTGCTGACTCAGACGCGGACTGACTCCTAGGACCTACGAAGGGCCAGTCTATAGTTTCTAGAAGGTCGTGGACTTGGCCTTTTGGAACTGTAGCGGATACGACCTATTCTGCTAAGACTCCTAAAACACAGACCTACTTGTCAAACCCCACGACCACACTATTTACAACAGCCAAACAAACGACTTTTGGGGTACAGGTCGTGGGTTCAAAACACACGGGTCAACAGGTACTGTACAMGGGTTATGGGGGAGGTCKAGGKATCGAGCCCTGGGTACTGCATCTGTCACCGTAACAGGTGAAAACCGTTTCACTCCCGCCGGYCTAAATTTGAGGTCCTCCGAAAATACAATGCACGACAGGACYGTTACCTTTCCTTTCTCTRTCATAAGCATGAACAATGTTGGGAGTGGTCTCTAAGAGTTCAGTTCTTTAAACCATCGGCCGTCCTCCCGTTCCTGATAAGCGAATCTGACTTTGTATTGTTTATGTGGACGACCTCTACCTTCGGTTCTAAACACATCCTCTYYTACAATGCGATCTATGTCGTATGTGCCATCCATATCCGRCGGAATCATTTTTGATCAACGCGACCAAAATTGCTGATTGGTGACACGAGGTAACAACTTGGATGCATGGAAGTCTGGATACGTGTGGAGGTGTGACGGAGTTTCTACTGTGCAGAAAGGTCCGTCGTCTCCGCCSTTCACTTCTAGGACAGGCCGCAGTCCCCTATACGCGGGCAACAACTTTTGTGAGATGTTCTCTTCTGGGGCGAACTCGTTGGACTTGACCCAGACTAAGTCACCTACCTGGAACTGTGATGGCCGACGATGCTTATTGGCTTGTTCTATCATCTTGTGCAATTTCCTTCTCATGCTGTAGCGCAAACTCTCTAGTTTCGGGTGGCAGTCTTTATATCTGGTCACAATTCCTTCAAACGGCCTGCATGGTCTAAAGGACTTGTGCAACTCGTTGGGAGCTCAGCAGGTAGCTAGATGGACACTGTTATTGTAGGCACTAGCTACGTTAGGGAGCATCTCATCCCAATTGATCTGATCTGGTCTAATGTACATCCTGTATCTGCTGCAGGATCTTATTCATCTGTTCAGTCTGACCGTTAGTCTCTGGATGACGGCCAGAGGACATCAACAACTTCGAGCCATAGACTCGCATAAGTTCCTGCCAATGCTGACTAGTAAACCGGGTATCTCTATCGCTAATTATGGATAGTAGAATACCATGCTCACTTGCCCAGGTATGTACGTGCCTCAAAAGGCAAAGGAATAAAAACCGCATACTTGCTAAAACGGTCTCCTATGACCATGACTTGACTCTTGCAATGCCTACTTCTGACCCCAACATCCATAAAGTCAATGGACAAAGATTGTCCGGGTCCTGAAGGGATAGGCAAGGGTCTGAGGAGAACCAATGGGGCTCGCGTCGTAGTTTTGTTACGCTGGCACACTTTAGAACTGCGGACATACTCTATGCAGTCAGCCTTCATGCCAGGCCATGTATAGGCACGTGTTAGGTTGGCCAATGTCTTTTGCCAACCAAAGTGTCCTTCTGTATCATGGCATTCCCCTAAGATCAGATTCCGGATCTCTTCGCTATTGAGAATGCACAACCAATCTACGATGCCTGTCTTCTCAAACAATAACCCGTTTGTGGTGCGATAGTCAAGTTCACTTGCTGGGTCGCCTCTTACTCTCTTCAGGAGGTTACTATAGATAGGGACCTGCGCATACGCATCTCTAACCTTTTGCTGTAAGTCAGTCCCTATATCAAGTTAGTGAACTATAGCTCCAAAGTAGTCGGCTCTCCTACTCAGAGCATTTGCAACCATGTTGTACTTTCCCTGAACGGGTTTGAGCTCAAAGTCGAATTGGTATATCTCTGCGGGCCACCTAGTAAGCTTAGGTGTCATCTTGGCCTGTGTCTTCAGCCACCTGAGTGTCTCGTTGTCTAAATAGACTTTGAAGTGCCTCCCAAGCAAGTAGTGTCTCCATTGGTCTAACGCTTGCCTGAGAGCATAGAGTTCCCCCTCATACATTGAGGCTGCTACCTTCTCGAAAGGCAATCTAGCAGACATGAACTCTACGGGTCTATACCCATTGCCATCATCTTGCTGTAAAACAACACCAATCCCATACTGGCTTGCATCAGTAGTAACAACAAAAGTTAAGGATGGATCATCTACCTTGAGGACTGAGTACTCTATCAAGGCCCGTTTCAATTTCTTTAGGGCCCACGTGCAGTCTTGGTCCCACTTCCGGATCGCTTCTTTCTTTAGCAGTCGGCGAAGGGGAGCAGCGATAGCAGAGAAGTTTCTAACGAACTTCCTATAGTAGTTGGCCAGTCATAAGAATGATCTCAACTCTGTGAGTGTACGGGGAATTGGCCAGTCTCTAATCGTTGCGACCTTGCTGTCCTCAGGTTTTATACAATCTCCATCTATGACGTGGCCCAAGTACAAGATTTCGGTCTTGGCCCACTCACCCTTCTTCGCATTGATCTTGAAATTCGCCTCTCGCAACTTCTCCAAGATCCGCCTCAGATGAGCCTCATGCTCCTGGAGGGACTTACTAAAAATCTAAATATCATCTAAATAAACGACTACGAATCTGCCTAACCACGACCTAAACAAATCATTCATACAACGCTGGAAAGTGGCTGGTGCGTTGGTTAGTCCAAAGGGCATAACTATGAACTCGCAGTGCCCATATCTAGTCCTGAACACCGTTTTATATTGATCATCAGGGTGGACCTCAATCTGATGGTACCCTGATTTTAAATCTATCTTCGTGAAATACTTGCAGCCCTGCACCCGATCCAACAAATCATCTATTCGGGGCAGTGGTTCCGCATTCTTGACTGTAACGGCGTTGAGACCCCTGTAGTCAATGCACATTCTCAACTCTCCCTCTTTCTTTGGGACAAAGAGAACATGTGCTCCAAATGGAGACGAATTGGGCCTAATCCAACCCTTCTCGAGGAGTTCATCTAACTGCTTGTGCAGTTCAACTCCTTAGGAGACATTCTATACACTGCTCATTTGGGAGTCTTACTGCTAGACTCTATGTCGATGCGGTGTTGGATGGGGTGCGACACTAACCCTGAAGGAGCCTTTGATAGATCTGCGTACTCTTCCAGTAGCTTGGCAATAATGGGGTTGGTCGGTTCCTCTTCCTTAGGCTCAGTGACTGGCCTAACATAGGTGAGACAGCAATGTGCTAAGGAGTTGTCTACTCCTGACACAGGAAACAGGTGGGCCATGTTGACGCCACCTGAAGGACTAGGGAGCCTACACTCATGTTCTCTCAGATGTAGTGTGGCTCCAACTGCCTCTCCCCAATCCATCCCTAGTACCATATCGAACGGGAGGTTATCCTCTACGAGGAGAGTCAGGGAGTGGAGAACTCTTTCTACCTTCCCATCTGCTTCTAGGCGAAAGTATGTCTGGACTCCCTTAACATAATCCTCGATGCGCATAGTGCGATTGTCAGCAAGGATACTGACTAACCTTTCTTCCAACTTTTGGACTTTCAAGCTATGCTTTAACTTCTTCAGCGCTTTACGACTAATATAGCTGCGTGTGGCCCCATTGTCTGTAAGGGCCCCTACTCTGCCTCTAAAGATTTCTACATCTGCATCCGTCCTTTACCTTCTTTCTTCATCTTGGCCGAGGTTGGCGTTCTCTCCTTGTAACTCTTCTGCCAGACCTGTGAGGGAAGTGCCTAGAGAGACTCTAACACATGCAGTCTCTGGACAATTAACTAGACGTTGGCCAGCAACCTCTACCATAGACACACGTGGATTAGGAGTTTCTACTTGGCGCGCCTGTGGGCCCTCCTGTACTAGAGGTAAGGGCAGTTGTGACCCCTACTGGCGGTTGCCTTTTGCTGCCTCAGCAGCCGCTCGCCGGGCACTTCTGTACTTTGGGCAAAATTTTATGATATGCCCAGGATCACCGCAAAAGACACATTGGAACCCATCTATCCTTTTCTGCTGGTCTTCCTTTTCAACGCCCAACGTTTCCCAGGACCGGCCCTGAGGCCGACCAAGGTGCCAACCACCTGTTTTGGGAGGTGACCAATTTGAACAAGGGCGGTTTGACGGGGGACCTTGACCCCTGCCTCCCACTTGGTGGTTTCCTCTGTCGCCAACCCCCTGGCCACCCTGCCCTCGACCACCGGAGGCCTGGCCACCTTGGCCTTGGCCGCCTCCTCTTCCATGCGACCTCCCTTCGGCCGCGACAACAGCATAGGTACTCCCCTTGCCTACACCACTGTCTGACCTGGACTCGATCTCGCTGTAAGGGACCTCTTCTAGACCACCCTCTTCAAACGTGAGGATAAGGCTATCCTTAGCCTTGACTTGGCTGGTGATGGTCCGACCTTTCCACTTGTTGGCATTTGCAAGGTCCTTGTGCCAGAAATTGGTAACTGGCGCGGACTGGGCCTCAAATGCAACAACCTCACGACGGATTGTGTCGTAAGTGATGTCAGGCTGCTGCTTTCTAGTGAAGAAGTGTCCGTGCAAATTCTCGCGCATGGCACGATAAAACAATTGGACAAGTTGGGTCTCAGTGACCCCATGTCCAGGGACAACAACGAGTTCCATGACGGCTTCGAGTACCATTGCACTCCTCCACTGTCGCGTGTGGATTGTTTGTAGTTTGTCAGACGCCCTGAGAGTCTGAGACCTCTAGTGACGTCTGCAAATTGTTCATGAGGGAAGACAGAAACTCACTAAATTAGTGATGAAAGAATATGTGACCACACCGTTGTCACATTTGGCAGCACGTGCAAAGGACCTAGGAAAGTTAGCCGCTTCTTCCTTCAATGCCTGAAAGGCCACGAGAACATGGTTCTCTGGCGCAATATCCTGTAGGTGTAAGTAGGACTTGATATTGGTTTCCCAATTATCAAAGTCCTCTCCATTCTTCCCACCATAGGGTTTAGGGAATTTGGCCTGAATGCGCTCGTGGTCGTGCCTCCTCTTCTTTGGGGGCCGCTAGCTTGGCGCCTTCTTTGGCACCCGTACATAACTTTTTTGTGCCTTATACAGCTACACGCATTTTGCTTGCAACGCACATCATCACGTCCCGTGCGAAATCCTTGAAACCCATGCGCATGGACTGTAAGGCGATATCATGGCCCCTAAGATAGTGCAACTGTTCTTGCTAGGCTCTCAACATGACGTCCACGTTCTGGGATAGCATTTCTATTTTCCTTTGAAGATCGGTCTGTGCTCCCAGTTGCCGCTGCTGCTCTTCAGCTGCTTTCAACTCTCCTTCCATCCTTTTTGCCGCCTCCAATCGTCTCGTTCTCTCCCTTGCGAGACACAACTTCCACTCCAACATCTTTTCATCCTCCTTGGTCTGTCGGCGCAAGGGATCTGCCTCACTTCGCAATTCCTGATCCACCTCTTCCCTTTCTACCTGAGGGACAATTAACATAGCTTCTTCCTCTTCCCCAGAGCCAAATTTGCCACCCACTCGGTCACCATCTTCTCCATTTTTGCTTCCCTCTCTCGCGCACCACTAGATTCCCCTCTCTCTTCAGTTCTTGTTGTTCTCTGCAGGGGAACCTCCACCTCTTCTTCTTCTTCGTCGTCTTCTACTTCTGCTTCGACTGCGGCCAGCTTCTCCTCCTACTCCTTCCATCTTTCTAGCTCTTCCTCCATTTGTTTCTTCTTTGCCTCTTGTTCTTCTAGCAGGGCCAACATCTTCGCCTGCTTGATCAACTCTCATTTCTCCATCGTCTCCTTTCTTTCCCTCAGGATCACAACACCTTTCTCCTCTTGGGCCTTACTATAGGGGGTGGTGCTAGTTCCTGTTCTAGTGGCCACCATGGTGATAGGTGCACGACCAAGTGACAGCTCCGCTCCTCACCACTTAGACTTTTCCACCCACTGACTGACTGACTGACAGACTCTGTAAAGGACCACAGAGTGAAAGACTGAAGCTTTGGCCACCACTGTCACCAAAACTTTCCAGATCCGAGTTCACCTTGCACCCGCGATCAATCCGACCTGGCTTTCACTCTGGATTAGACCCTGTCAACTATGGTGTCTAGCCTATACTACTCTAAGGCTGTCACTACAGGACTCTACTGCTGATCAGGAGGCATTTAAGAAGATCCCCCATAACTCCTCAGGAATTCTTTATCTCCACATTTAGGACGACGTGATCAGCAGAGTCCTCTGAAGACAGTTGGATGCGCAGCTACAACTCGGAGTTCAGGCCTACCATGCCAAACTGAGCAGCCCGCCGGTCTGTACCGGTCCTTGGGGGTCTTGTCCCAGGACGTGTCAGTCGTCAGACATGGCCTTTAGCCCTACTAAGTCCCATGCAGGTTTGGTCACCACAACTCTAAGACCTCATACACAAAACCTATCACCTGGACAAAAGTGACTCGATGCAGAAAGAAGAGACAAACTGACTCAATAAGTACCAAGGGTAAGTGCACAACCACAGGGCGAGGGGCCAGGCTCAAGGTTTGAAGAGATTATACCGACTCCAGCTTGGTCAATGCCTTGGTCAACACCCACGGTCAACTGTCTTGGTCAACTTGGTCAACGCCCGGTCAAACTTCGTCGGTCAACTCTTCGACCTCCGGCTATGACCGTCGACTTTTCTCCCTCATCAACCTCTCTATTTCTCCCCTTCGTCTGCTTCTTCACTCGACTTTGGCTATGGATTCTCCCTTTCTTCTTCGTCTCTCGCTCCTTCTTCCTTCCTCTCTTTTGGCTTCTCCTTCATTACTTTTGTTGTCCTCTTCTTGATTTCCCAGCTCGGCGGCTATGGCCGCCACCTTCTTCTTCAATTGCACAACCAATCTTCTCTCTCTCTCTCTCTCTCTCTCTCTCTCTCTCTCTCTCTCTCTCTCGTCTTCGTCGTCTCTCCCCTCCCTCTCTCTCTCTCTCTCTCTCTCTCTCTCTCTCTCTCTCTCTCTCTCTCTCTCGTCTTCGTCGTCGTTTTCTCCCTTGCAGGTTCGGCGGTTATGGCTGCCCTTCTTCAGCTTTGCACAACGTCCTTCTTCAACGGTGCAACGATCCTGGCGATCTTCTTCTTTGTTGTGCGATAGTCTTCCCCCCTCAGCCCAATGGTCTTCTTAGGCGCAAGCGGCAAGTTGCTGGCAACACACACGGGCGCGCGAACTTCTACGGGGCGCGCGCGAAGGGCAGCACGCGCGCAGAAACAGCAGACGCGCGCTAGCTAACGGGCAGTGCTTGAGCGGCAGCGGTGCGCAGCATGTGCGCAGGGAACCGGGGCATGTGGAAGGCCGAATAGCGCACAATTAGCGATGGCACGCAATAAGCAGCGGGTGCGCGCAATGGCAACTTGGTGCGCGGCGGCAGCGGAGCGCGTGGCGGTTTATCGGCGCAGTAGTGCGCAAATGGTGATGTGGCGCCGCCTCCTATCGGCGCGCTGGACTACGATGGCGCTCTCCTTCTTGCTGACGATGACGAAGGCACCGTCCCTGTCTCACGATGACGACAATGATGGGCGATTGCGATGTCGACACGGCAGCGATCACTTCGATAGTGGGACAGCGGGAACCAGCTCCGATACCAGTGCAATCAGACTTGTCTTCTTCCTACTCCGCATGCTTGCAAACAGATGATGATCAAACTCGGCGCAGAGTGCCCACACAAAGCTCAGAGATAAACGTGGCCAGGAACACAGCTCGGATTCAAACTTGTCTTCGATGGCTATGGTGCAGTGCACCAGACAAAGATTGCCACCCGATCAACTGTATCCACCAGCAACTTATTCACACGCACGCACTCCTGGATCACCCTGGATGTCCCGCACACCCGCACACTCACATACACTACACACGGACTAACTCCATACCACTAACCTACGGGCAGCTATGGCTGCCGTCTTCTTCCTCCTACTAACTAGCGTCTATGGCCACGCCTTCCTCCTCTTAGCCCACTTCTTCTTCGGGCACCTGCAGACCTTCGTACACAAGACGCCCCGACCGAGCTTCCGCACGGTTCACAGGCAGAATGAATGAATGACTTGACGCTGCCTCTTTATTTATACTTCGGATTGTCGCTGGTCTGCCCTTGGACCTGGGGCCGGGGAATACACAGACCCACATGGTACTTGCCGACTTGACAAAGTGCGACCTGGGACTGAGTACCGCTGACTAGGATAGGTAGGACTGAGACTGCCCTTTGTTGACTGTGCTAGGACTGCCCTCTGCTGACTCAGACGCGGACTGACTCCTAGGACCTACGAAGGGCCAGTCTATAGATTCCAGAAGGTCGTGGACTTGACCTTTCGGAACTGTAGCGGATACGGCCTATGCTACTGCTAAGCCTCCTAAGACACAGACCTACGGGTCAAACCCCGGCAACCACAATATTTACAACAGCCGAACAGACGACTTTTGAGATACAGGTTGCGTGTTCAAAACACACCGGTCAACAGGTACTGTACACGGGTTATGGGGGAGGTCTACGGATCGAGCCCTGGGTACTGCATCTGTCACCGTAACAGGTGAAAACTGTTTCAGACCTTTCCTTTATCGTCTAACCTTATAGAGCTGCAAGGTAGAAGCCTTGACGTTCGTCTTCTTGTGCTTTATCTTTTTCGGCTTCCTGTAGGGCTCCTTTGTTCTCTTGTTCGCTCCTCTGCGAAGCCTTAACATAAGATGCAGAGTTGACTCCTCCTGGATGTTATAATCCGCAAGAGTGCATCCATCCTCAAACTGCTTCCTCACAAAAATCAAACTTGGTGATCGGGAGGGATACCCTGCTTATCTTGAGTCCTCATCTTCACATTGTTGATGGTATCGGATGACTCTATCTCAAGGGTAATAGTCGTACCCGTGAAGGTTTTCATGAAGATCTGCATGGTGCCTTGCTCCTCTACGCACCTCAGTACTCCTCTCTTTACCACCAGATAGTCTCGCCTTCTGCCCTCTCAGGGCTTTTCCTTCGTTTTCAGGCAGCCCTCCCACATGATTTCCTTATTTGAAGATATTGACACACACACAGACACACACACACACGATGTGGTGAGTCCTTATCCATCAGTCAAACGAATCCTGGGCAGAATGTTGAGGTTCAACCTCATGATGAGTCCGTGAAAGTCCGATGAAACAGTCTGGCACAGTCATGCCTTTTTCGAGTGTATACTACTGTATAGCGAATATGACAACACACCTGATGGTCGGTGAAACTCCGATGAAACAGTCTGGCAGAGTCATGCATTTTTTGAGTGTATAGTGAATATGACAACACACACACACACGCGGGGGCGCACACACACACACACACACATGCGGGGGCGCACACACACACACACACACAAAGAGAGAGAGAGAGAGAGAGAGAGAGAGAGAGAGAGAGAGAGAGAGAGAGAGAGAGAGANAGAGAGAGAGAGAGAGAGAGAGAGAGAGAGAGAGAGAGAGAGAGAGAGAGAGAGACAAGTCAATGAGTCATGTTGTCATCATACTACAGCTCTCTTTGATGGAGTCCGCGTGTGATGAAGGTCATGTGTATGCAGCAAAGTGCAGAGTGTGAATGTTTGGGGAGAAGAAAGAGAGAGAGAGAGAGAGAGAGAGAGAGAGAGAGAGAGAGAGAGAGAGAGAGAGAGAGAGGCATGAGTTGAGAAGTCCGCATTAAGATGAAAAAGAAAAACACCCTTTTCCCCCAAACACCCTTTTCCCCCTCCTCCCAGCTCTCCCTTGTGCCATGCACGAAGAAGCAGTGAGCGGCCGCTTGTTAAAAAAAAAAAAAAATACTCAAGTGCACAGTGGAAAGGTCCTCTAACACATCAAGTACATTGGGTTTCTCTCTCTCTTGGGGCCAAGCTGTCTTTGGTTCTCCTTTCTCTGGTGAGCAGGAAGTGGGCCGCAGCCCTGCCTGCATAGCATGACCCACATACCCGACATTGTACCACCCAGCCCATGTGGCATCACTGACATACCCCTCACTGTACGTCCCAGCCCAGTCCACAAAGGTATGACCCACCCCACAAAGTACCCTGCAGCCAGACCACCCAGTCCAGATGGTCTCACCCAACCCTCGTATTATCAGGCATGCCACATAACACTACCCAGCCCACATAGTACCATCTAGCGGTGCTGCAGTGTGCCCTTTTTTTTTGCTTTGTAAGAAGAGAGATGAAGAGAGGGGCACCATGCTCCCTGTGTATGCCTAGAATAAGGGTGGAGACGCTGTCTTCATGATATTGTCGTTTGTCCCGGGTTGTATGCTCTGCCTTTGCCCTCACCACCGAGTGCTCTCCCTCTCCCCCACCACATTGTCCGTCCCGATCTTGTTCACCCACCGTGACAGGGCCACGGCATGCCTTAGGTTCTAAGTGATTGTGAAGGCAAGGGGAAGGGTGGTTTTTATATCTGCGCTGTGTTTGCATCCAGCACTAGGCAGGTCTTTACAGGAACCGAGCGAGGAAGAAGGGGGGAAGCAAAAGTGCTAAAAAGAAAAGAGTGAAAAAGGAAAAGAGAAAAGAAAGAAGAAGAAAGGACAGAGGGAACGGTCAAGGGCAAGGGTGGAATTGTGGGCTCTCCAATCGTATTATCAATTGCCCTTCCCAATTTTGGTGCCCCATCTATACCTCGGTATTTCTCTGTTTTTCTTTCCTTTTTCCATTTTTCCCTGCCCAAGGGGCCATCGGAGTACCCATATTGCCACCCATACTGGGCCCAAGGCATAGCCACTTGCCCTGTAGAGAGAGGGTTTCAACTAGCATGTCTCTAGGTGAGAGCGGATGAAGGGATGGGAGTGTGACGGGTTCTCTGTGTTGTTCGTGGGGATCGGGGAGCTGCATGCAGAGCGTGGGTGAGGGAGTTCTGAGCTCCAGCGAGAGTCAAGATTCTCAAAGCAGTAAGCTTCCCAGCAACATCGGGGATGGATTTGGTGCGACATATGGATTACGGTGGGGATATCCAGCTGACCATCGGGGAAGCCGGAGGAGCAGTGAGAGGCCTGGTGAAGGGAGTGCGGTATGGTTACCCAAGGGAAACAATACAGGCAGGTCGAGAAATGACGAGCCAGCAGGTCCTGCAGGATCAACAGGGAGACCAGTCGGGCACACGGAACCGTTGGGAGTGGACGAGTTGAGACACTCGGAACAAGTGGCAGGAACAGGTTCGTTGTCCGGGTCGGCGGGGTCTGCTGAGCGAGAGGGTGGATTTGCAGTGGTCGGACGAGGAGATCAATCAGCTGAAAGGTCTGGTCCATTTGAAATTACTGGAGCAAGGGGATTGACAGCAGGCCAATCAAGGGGTGCGTCACAGTCGGAGGGAAGGGGAAGACTTCCAGGGAGTCCTCTACCGACGTGGAAGCGGGAATCATCAGGCTCAGCAGTTGTAACTGTTCCAGAGGAGGCAGCAGGAAACGGAGTGGCTGGTCCACAAAAACGGTGGGGTGAGAAGGGCGAGATGATCGACCGTAAAGGGCCTTTGACTGTGCTGTGTGGGACAAGAGCTACTGAGGAAAAGGGGAAGGAGACGCTAATCAGCATGGAATGGGAAATGAACAAGCAACATCAGGCAGATGAGATCGTAGTACTGGAGTCCATCTATGGAGAAGATTTTTCAGTGATGAGGAAAGACAATGATGGAGGTGCACAATGTTTTGAGGTGGTGATCCATGTGGCAGTACCTGAAGCCTTTCGTCTTGTGACAGAATTCCTTGGCCCTCCCACACTGATCCCTTTTGCACTGAAAGAACTTTCCATCGAGGAGACTTCGTCGTCAAAGAGCGCTCCATTGGCTTCAACTGCATTGGATGAAGTCCCAGCTCGCGCAACTCCTATTGACGGGAATATTACAGGCACTGAAAGGCTGATTATTCCGGCAGCTGATGCTTCAGGTAGTAGCATGGTCGAATCTTCATCATCTAAGGCATGGCAAATTGAGGAGGAAGAGAGAAATGGAGCGGGCAGTTGTTGCACACGGTCCTGTAGAGCGGAAGCATCCTCTTCCAAGGCATATGGGCCAAGTTTTCCATTGGAATACCTACCACCATTGCGACTATTCTGCACGCTATCGGAATCTTATCCCTCAAGGAGTGCTCCTTCCTTCACTCTCGCTTGCAGTTGGCTGGATGATGTGCAACTCTCACATCTTTGCAAGGAATTGGACGCGATATGGAATGCGACAGTTGGGGAGGTTACTGTGTACCAGTGGGTCTCATGGATTGAGCGAGAAAGCCTTTCTTTTCTGGGTTTGACAAACGCTATTGTGTTGCGTCCACATGAGGATGATGTCCCCAAGTTGGAGAAGGATGAACGGGCGAATGCAGAGGGGGGCACCTTAGAACAAAAAGTTTTGAAGCTTTTGAAGTATAATGAGGAACGCAAGCTTGACGCATTTCGAAGAGGAATGCATCTGTGCGCTATCTGTTATGAAGAACAGCCAGGCACAGCTTTCCTGAGGCTCCCATGTGCTCATTTCTATTGTCGGGCATGCATGCGACAGTATACTGCGGGGCTTGTCAATGAGGGAACTGTCACCAGGCTGCATTGCCCAGGTTGTAAGGAACCAATGCCTTATCCCATCGTCAAGGAGTTGCTAGACGAGAAGCATTTCAGGAGATGGGAGGATATTTTGCTTCGGAGAACACTAGATGCCATGGAGGATTTGGTCTATTGTCCTCGTTGTGACGTCGCTTGCCTGGAGTCCAGTGATCATCTGGCCCAGTGCCAAAAGTGCTTCTTCAGCTTCTGTGGTCTCTGTAGGGGGTCGTGGCATGCCGGAAGTGACTGCTTAACTCCGGAGATCAGGTTGGCGATACTTCAGGCTCGGACAAAAGGCAAGCAGGCAACGGAGGAGCAGCTAATGAGATATGAAGCATTGGTCAATGAGCAGTTGAACCTCAAGTATCTGGAGGACACCATGAAATGTCCCGCATGCAAAATGGCAATTGTGAAGGAAGAGGGCTGCAACAAGATGACTTGCACCAACTGCGGTAGCTACTTCTGCTATCGGTGTGGAAAGAAGATTGACGGATATGAGCACTTCGAGAGAGGGTGCGTACTGTTTGACTCCCCCGAACTTGAAGCCTGGGATCGGGATGCCAGGCGTGGTAGAGCAATTGCGAATGCATTGTGGGCGCAACAGGGGGCTATAGGGGAGGCACATATTGATCCCATGCAGGTTCGGAATTGTCCAAACTGCGGTCAACGAAATTACAAAGTAGACACAAACAACCACTTGAGGTGCTGGTCATGCCAGATGTATTTCTGTGCAGCCTGCCGCAAGGCAGTGAAAGGAAAGGGGCATTTCGGACCCAAGGGTTGCAAACAGCATTCATGAAACTTTTGCTTGAAGTAAGCTCCAGAGCATGCCTCCACTTGGCCTATGCTGCAACGACATGAGGAGAACATCCAGATGATTGCTGGTCCAGTTGTCAGCAGCTGAATGTGATGGTCACATTTGACATGGTCGATCTGTGGACCGCTCAAGGGCTGCTGCATGCTTGCTGCCTGGTGAAGGGCTTTGTAGTGCATCCTAGTAAGAATCTCCAGAGCATGCTCCACTCGGCCTAATACTACACTGAGATGAGAGAATAGATGACTGCTGGTACAGTTGTCAGCAGCAGCTGACTTCGGTGGCTGCATGGTCGTCCTGCGGATGGCTCAATGGCTGCTGCATGCTGACTGCCTGGAATGCAGTGCATGCCACTCTGCTTGCTGCCTGGTGAAGGGCCTTGCAGTGCATCCTAGTAAGAATCTCTGTAGCCTGCTCACTCGGCCTAATACTACACTGACATAAGAGAACATTCAACATTCAGATGGTACAGTTGTCAGCAGCAGCTGACTTCAGTGGCTACATGGTCGTCCTGCGGATGGCTCAATGGCTGCTGCATGCTGACTGCCTGGAGTGCAGTGCAAGGCATTTTCCTCTTCTCGATTCTCTGGGATCATTTAATGTTTATTGTTATCCTCCAAATGTGGACACGAGGAGAATATTCAGTAATCAGCAGCTGACTTTGATGGTTACCTGGTTGTCCAGTTGAAGAGTCAAAGGTGGCTACATACTGGCTGCCTCGAAGGGCTTTGCGGTGCATGCCATTTTCCTCCTCTTGTTTTCCTCCTCTTGATTCCCTGAGATCATTTAATGTTAATTGGTATGTACTATGTGCCAAATGTGTACAAAATGCTTGGCAAAGCTGCGGGTACACCGTGCAGGAAGGATGAGATTTTGGATTTTTCTTTCTTGGCATCCGCCTCGATGTAGCGACTTCATTCTGGGATAGGAGTGCGTCCATAGTTCTGAGCATTGGGTCCTCTGAAAAGAGATTGAGTTAAAGGCTACAAGATTGTTGACCTGTCGACGATTTTCATAAGTGTTTTGGGGGGGGAGGGGATGCTCAGACAGGTCCACAATGGTTTCAGTCGAAGGGCTCCAGGTTGTGCACGTCTAAGATAGTTTGGAGTTTCTTTGGTTTCTGTTATGTGCCCTTCGGGCGTTGGTTAAGCCCATAGGCAGGAAAGCGGGATCTGCCTAGGTGCCACCAGTGGGCCCACCTCACACATGGGAAGGAAGTTGTCCAAACATGGAACGTAGTCGTCCAACAGCTGTCTGCAGCAGGATGTTCACAATGGCAGCTGAGTTACAGCACATTTATAGACGAGGCGAACCATGGGCTCGCATCTCAGCTGTCCTTCCTTCCCCTGGTGAGGTCAGTGGCTGGCACCAATTGAAACGTTTCACGGATGGTGAATACAGTGCAGCGTGGGAGGAGCAACAAAGTGTGCTGGCAATTGCCTTGGTATGATATGGGTTTTCTCCGAGTGTTGTTTTTCTCTGTCCGAAGAGCTGACGACCTGAGTACTTGAGTTGTCATCAAGGTTGTACATGCTTGCCAATGCTCTCATCTCTATCTGATGTACAGCAGTAGCAACCAACTTGGGTAAGGCCACTTGGCCGTGGTGGCTCTCTAGCAGGAGCAGATGTAAAAGGTGTGGTTGCAGTTGCAAAGCAAGTGTGGATTTTGGCTGCTCGATGTGTTAAGCATTGCAAAGGTTGGGATTGGCATTACGAAAGCTTGGCTGAGCATCGAACGTGAAGGCTTCGTCAATATGGTACAATGCCAGAGAATGTGGACAGTATTGATTGAATGATGTCGATGGAAGAGCAATTGGAAGACCGGGGAAGGAGGCAGAAGGGGCAGTCCCCCGAGTTGGGCTGGAGGAGGCAATTGGAATAATGGTGGGGACTGGAACGGTTCAGGGAGAAATTGGAACATAGAAGAGGACAGTTTGGCAACTATGCCCGTTTGTGCATGGAGAGAGAGAGAGAGAACTGGGGGAAGCTGGAAGAAGGCAACCAGGCAGAAGGGGCTAGGAAGCTGGAAAAGGGAATGAACTGGGGGAATGGCGGGGTGATGGGAGGAGATCCCTGCCAAGGTGCTCTAACCGCAGCCAGTTTGGCAACTATGCCCGTTTGTGCATGGAGAGAGAGAGAGAGAGAGTGAGAGCGAGAGAGAGAGAGAGAGAGAGAGAGAGAGAGAGAGAGAGAGAGAGAGAGAGAGAGAGAGAGAG